TCAATGGGTAGGCCACGATCATAGCCTCGAAGTTTTTGTATTTCCTCAACTTTAGGTTTCTTTTCTCCACGTTTTTTGGACTTGGCCCTCGACTCCTCGAATTTTTGTATTATTGAGGGGCAATCGCAATTTTCCTCCGGCTCCCAAGTATTGTCCGAGTTAGGATAGCCGCGCCATTTAATAAAGTACTCAACTTTACCTTCCGGCGTTATTCGTTTATCCATAATTTTCTCCACCACGAATCCGGTTTCCTTTGCTTGATTTTTAACCATGTTGGAGCAGGTTTTATTTATCTGATTGATATTTCTTTAAATTGGAATTGTTTCTTTATATTGTTATTCCGTGAAATGTTTTGTGTACCTTTTGGCAATTTTTTATTTAGCTAGTTATGTTATCGATAATTGTTTACGCATTGTGTTATCGGTTTCATATGTAAGCATCGATGACATGTTTAGGCAGACGGGTCACACAGTGAGTTCAACTTTTTATACCCTCTACCACAAGGTGGATTGTATACTAAATTATTCATTCCGTTTGATACAAGTATCGATATTCTTGATCAGCATAAAATTCTATGTTGATTTATACAGACATTGAAATCAGGATAGATATCGCAATAATTAAGATAGAGCTCTAAAATTTAGCACAAACATTGCTAGTATTTCTAAGACGTTTGGTATTGCAAATTGGATTTATCGGTCCACGTTTTGGTATAGCCTCAAATATTAGGTATTTTGGGAACATTGGGCACAGTTGTCAACGGTATGAGATGTAATTTGGTATTTTGTGTTATTATCGCTTTTTAATATTGTTGGCACCAGCTTCGGGATAGCTTCCATATTGCAGTATCCCCCATATATTCGTTACTTCAGGGGTGACAGTCACGGTATACATCGGAATTTGCTTTAATTTGGTATATGGAGTTATGGAGTATGGAGTTATCTCTGTACATTCAACCTCTACTAAAAATTATTAATACTGACAAGTTTTGGGGTTGCACTCATATAAAGGTACACCCAATATTTGGTGGTTTCATTTCAAAGCCAAGTCAAAAGGCCTTTCACCGGAGTTGGTTGTAATTTGGTATTATGGATTCTCAATGTATAGCCAACCTCCCTAGTAGAAATTATTAATATATACTAAAGTTTTGGGGTAGCCCCCAATATTCGGTATCTTTTGTATGATAGGCAGGTTTTTCATCGGAATTGTCTGTAATTTGGTATTTTGGGACTTCAAAGTATAAGCAACCTCCCGACTAACGATTATTAATATGCACTCTTATTAATAGGTTCGTTCGTTTAGTCAATAATTTGTACGAATTTGTACAAATTATTACAAAATGTTGTTCGTTTACCCAAAAGTCCAGTAAAAGAGAGTGAATTGAGAGAGCAGATTTGACAGTTGTGTTACTGAGTATTTGCAAATTCTTACAAGGAAAATTTACTCAGTAAGAATTTTCTTGTACCATCAGCTGATATTTAATCAGCTGTTTTGTTATGTTTTGTAAACAAACAAAAAATTGTTCTCAAGAAAATTGATTGTTTTGTGAATTTTATTTTGATTTTGTATCATTAAATACCAAAATGGATGAAGAAAACGCAAGTATTTAAAAATAAGAGTAATAAGAGTAATTGGCGAACGATTTTTTAGGTTCCAAATCGAAACAAAAAAGTGTGCATCCCTAACATGTCTGGAACACCATCGGTTATGTCCACCCCCATATCAATTGCAGATACAGGAATAACAGGTCACAACCCTTTTAAATGTTTATGGGGAACAAACAACATCAATTTTCCGCTTGTTATCCATTTTTCTAATAAAAATGCTGTTTTATAGTTTGCGCCAATTTGTTTGTTGTTTTAATCAGCTGTGTCGAAACAATCTTTTTACTGGGAAAGTAAACGAACGAACCTAATGTTGTACTCCCGAATATTCGGTATTTTGAGAGTGTTGGGCACATTTTTCAACCGAACAGAATATGTTAAAGGTATTAGGTCAATCTGAGTGTCAGTAATTTGATTTGGTTTTCTCCTGAAACCCCCAATTGGTTTCAGATTTGGCACGGCCGAACTTAACGACGTTTTTATTTGTTTGTTATAAAAAAATATTTTACTTTTCTGCGAAGTAGATCTCGGGATGTCGAATACAACATTTCGGTTGAAAAATGTTCATATAATTACTACGAAAACAGCTAAAATGGGGCAATGTCAAAACATTTTGCTGCAAAGGTAAATATAATTTTCCCACTTCGAGAACTCGGAATGCCAAATTAGCACCACATTTTTTTGTAAATGTCTAACATGCGTTTGGACTTTCCAAATATGGAGCTATATATTTCCAAATTACTGTAAAGTCGGCTATAATCATAAAAAATACAAAAAAATGGGGCGGCACCTTAACATGGGGCTTTTTTAAAAACATGAATCTTTATTTACAATTTTCTGAGCATACGTTTTTAGGCCTTTTAGAGCTCAGAATGCCAATCTACAGTCATATCTTTTTGGAAGATGCGCTCAGGACCAGGAATATATTGGGCAGTATTAAAACATCAACCTATGATGAAAAAAAAAATTGGAAAATTGTTTTAACACTCCAATACCAAATGCGATTGAAATATGCCCCTAAGGGTTAACCTTGTATGTAAGTTATACCAAAATGCGAAATTCACCGATATACTATCTTCAATACAAAACATCCTAGGAGTGATTTCAAAATACAAACGGACCCCAATAGATGCTTCGAAGTGTTGCATGCGGGTTGATATATTACACATACCCCCTACCATATAGTGAAAGGAATAAACAATGGAAAACATTTTCCAAAAAAGTTTTTCCAATTAATTTACAATATGTAAGTCCACCTTAATCGAGGTATCTTTCCTATAGAAAAACCATACGTAGACAGTGTTATTTTCAAAACTTTATTATTTTGATTCCTTTTTAATTATCAATTTAGAATCTTCAAGTAATACTTTCGATGTACTAGCAACACTAGAATCATGGCCACCAATCATTTCATCATCTGTGTCATTGGGATTTTGAAATTGATTTAATTCATCATTTTCTTCATAGTCGCCATCATCTTCGACTGCAGAGGATGATGATGCCGATTCATTTGTCAAATCGTCATCATGAGAATTTACAATAGCGGCAGCTTTACGTTTTAAATCTCTACGCCTTTTGCTTATGGTGTTGTCGTTAGTTTCTGAAATCCCTTCAGTTGTTCCATCCAATATATTTTTAATATTATTGAAAACATAATTCATATTCTTAAAGATGTTAGTAGGAGGTAATGTGGCAGTTTTTGACTTTCCAATTGACTTTTTCAGTGCATTATATTCATCCTCTTGGGCAGTCATTTCTTTAAGGTCATCTTGTATTTCGGGAACCAACAGCAATTTATCTTTGGCTGTTACCCTTATAACTTCGGTGTGTTTTTCTGCTTCGTTCTGCTCCACGGTTATTTTATCATAATCAACCAATTCCGGCCCAACACAATAATCCATAGCTGTAAAACGAAATGCCCCGGCTTTGTACAAACGCCAAAATACGTAACGGACATGATCCATTTTTGGGTCACCGCTCAACGATTCCATGAATGTTACAGTATCACGCCATGTCTCCAAGCTGACAGTAATTTTGACATATTCCTTCGTTGGCTGCTTAAAATAGATGGCATACATTAGGTACATGCCACCAATTCGTCGCAGCAGATTTCGCCGTTCATTACCCTCAGTACTCGATAGATATTTACCAAATTCATCTTTGGCACAAATTGATCTTTTGGCCATGTGAAAGATGGTCTTAGTTGTTTGTATAACTTCCAATACAGATGTTTGCACAGCATAGATATGTTGGAACATTTGTTTTTTCCACACGGAACAAAAGCTGGAAAATTCGACGGAATCATTGTTAATGAATTCTTCTATTAGATCGTGACAATCCTTGTAAAGTGCCGCTTCCATTGCGGGATATTTTTTTTTTGTTTATTTCAAATTCTGAGTTTATTATTGTTTACATTTGAGATGATAATCTATCGATGGCCGCGTTATCGATAATAAGAATTTAGAAATGTTTTCTTTTTTGTTCGATTTTACACATAGAAAGTTTGCGTGTGGAAAATCTGATTATTTCGAAATTCATATATGCAAATTATTATTAATATACATCAAAATGGACATGAACATTAAAAAAAATCAGGTTAGATAATTCGTTTATGATTCTGAACATTTTAAAAGAGGATTCGAACCTTTTGGAGGTGGTTATGCCTATAGGTCAAATGGTCTCTCCAAAAATAGTGTTTAAAAATCCACGCCCATAGGTCAGATGGTCTCTCCAAAAATATTATTTAAAAATCCGCGCCCATAGGTCAGATGGTCTCTCCAGAAATATTATTTAAAAATCCACGCCTATAGGTCAGATGATTGGTGAAAAAATATGATTTAAAAATCCACGCCTATAGGTCAGATGATTGGTGAAAAAATATGATTTAAAAAGGTCAGATTGGTGAAAAAATATGATTTAAAAATCCACGCCTATAGGTCAGATGGTATCTCCAAAAATATTATTTAAAAATCCACGCCTATAGGTCAGATGGTTGGTGAAAAAATAGGATTTAAAAATCCACGCCTATAGGTCAGATGGTTGGTGAAAAAATAGGATTTAAAAATCCACGCCTATAGGTCAGATGGTTGGTGAAAAAATAGGATTTAAAAATCCACGCCTATAGGTCAGATGGTTGGTGAAAAAATAGGATTTAAAAATCCACGCCTATAGGTCAGATGGTTGGTGAAAAAATAGGATTTAAAAATCCACGCCTATAGGTCAGATGGTTGGTGAAAAAATAGGATTTAAAAATCCACGCCTATAGGTCAGATGGTTGGTGAAAAAATAGGATTTAAAAATCCACGCCTATAGGTCAGATGGTTGGTGAAAAAATAGGATTTAAAAATCCACGCCTATAGGTCAGATGGTTGGTGAAAAAATAGGATTTAAAAATCCACGCCTATAGGTCAGATGGTTGATTTAAAAATCCACGCCTATGAAAAAATAGGATTTAAAAATCCACGCCTATAGGTCAGATGGTTGGTGAAAAAATAGGATTTAAAAAACGCCTATAGGTCAGATGGTTGGTGAAAAAATAGGATTTAAAAATCCACGCCTATAGGTCAGATGGTTGGTGAAAAAATAGGATTTAAAAATCCACGCCTATAGGTCAGATGGTTGGTGAAAAAATAGGATTTAAAAATCCACGCCTATAGGTCAGATGGTTGGTGAAAAAATAGGATTTAAAAATCCACGCCTATAGGTCAGATGGTTGGTGAAAAAATAGGATTTAAAAATCCACGCCTATAGGTCAGATGGTTGGTGAAAAAATAGGATTTAAAAATCCACGCCTATAGGTCAGATGGTTGGTGAAAAAATAGGATTTAAAAATCCACGCCTATAGGTCAGATGGTTGGTGAAAAAATAGGATTTAAAAATCCACGCCTATAGGTCAGATGGTTGGTGAAAAAATAGGATTTAAAAATCCACGCCTATAGGTCAGATGGTTGGTGAAAAAATAGGATTTAAAAATCCACGCCTATAGGTCAGATGGTTGGTGAAAAAATAGGATTTAAAAATCCACGCCTATAGGTCAGATGGTTGGTGAAAAAATAGGATTTAAAAATCCACGCCTATAGGTCAGATGGTTGGTGAAAAAATAGGATTTAAAAATCCACGCCTATAGGTCAGATGGTTGGTGAAAAAATAGGATTTAAAAATCCACGCCTATAGGTCAGATGGTTGGTGAAAAAATAGGATTTAAAAATCCACGCCTATAGGTCAGATGGTTGGTGAAAAAATAGGATTTAAAAATCCACGCCTATAGGTCAGATGGTTGGTGAAAAAATAGGATTTAAAAATCCACGCCTATAGGTCAGATGGTTGGTGAAAAAATAGGATTTAAAAATCCACGCCTATAGGTCAGATGGTTGGTGAAAAAATATGAATTAAAAATCCACGCCAATAGGTCAGATGGTTGGTGAAAAAATATTATTTAAAAATCCACGCCTATAGGTCAGATGGTTGGTGAAAAAATATTATTTAAAAATCCACGCCTATAGGTCAAGAAGAATCTCATGTGCATTCGGAAGTTAAATAACTCCTAGTCGTGTACGAAGGTGGTTCAAATTAACTATCCACTGGATAGTCTTTTACACCATATTGATTACCATTTGATTTTGATCTTCTACACTATATCGATTAATAGTTTCTATTGAATGTAAAAATAATTTCCATTCAAAATTCCGACAATTATCAAAAATATAATATTATATGAATTAAAGGTACCCCAATACATACTGGACGATGCCTATCGACGTCGGCAATATTGTAAAATTGTGTGTACTCAACCAAGGCGTATAGCAGCAATATCGATAGCCAAGCGGGTGTGTAATGAACGCAACTGGCAGGAAGGAACAGTGGTTGGCTATAAGGTATATTATTTAATACTAATATTCAATATTATTGAAATATTCACCATTAAAAAAACTTCGTTAAAGGTTGGTCTTCATTCCAACGTTAGCGATTACACTCGCTTGTTATATTGTACAACGGGTGTTCTATTACAAAAGCTAATTGGAGAGAAGACCCTCAACCCCTACACACATATTATTGTGGATGAGGTACATGAACGTGATCAAGAAATGGATTTTTTACTAATTGTTTTGAGAAGACTTTTGTTGACAAATTCACGACATGTTAAAGTTATATTAATGTCGGCCACAATGGATACATCGGAGGTAGGGGGTCTTTAAAATTAATTTACCATTACCGTTTAACGGAGAATATATCAAAAAATAAATAACTTTCATTTAGTTCTCCAATTATTTTAAAATACGAAACAATCCAGCCCCTGTAGTGCGGGCCGATTTGCGACGCCTGTTCCAAGTGAAGGAATTTTATTTGAACGATTTGGATGATTTAAATAATCATGTAAGTACAAATTCAATTTAGGTTAGATTTAAATATATATATATAAATTTATTTTCTTTTAGAAAGTCCAAGTGGCTTTGGCGGAACCTGGTATATCAACGGAAATGTTACATTTGGCCTTAAAATTGATTGTCATAATTGATAACATTGAAAAACAAGAAGCATCTCTAAATCCGGATATCAATGATAGGACAAGTAAAACATCAATTTTAATATTTCTACCCGGTATAAATGAAATTGAGCAAATGTTAAGAAAAATTCAATTACTATGTCAGGCGGAAAGGTAATTATATACAATTTATTTATTAAAAATTATTAATATGTTGATTTCATTTCTATAGAGATAAAGTAAAACTATGCTGTATACGTTTACATTCTGTGGTCTCACCCGAAGAACAAGTTCGAGTATTTCATCGACCACCACCGGGTTATCGTAAAGTAATCTTGGCCACAAATATTGCTGAAAGTTCCATAACAGTTCCTGATGTTAAATATGGTGGGATTGGATTTTATTTAATAATAAAATTTAAATTTTATTTTTTATTTATTTTTTGCAGTTATTGATTTTTGTCTAACAAAGATTTTGGTCACCGATAGTGCCACAAATTTTACCACTTTACAATTAAATTGGGCTTCTAAAGCCAATTGTCGACAGCGTGCTGGTCGGGCTGGACGTGTAATGAATGGCAGGGTATATCGTTTGGTTCCACGAACATTTTATCTGGTAATACACTTATAGCTGAACATTATATATTACGTATTTTCTGAGACCATATCTTCATATTTTTTTTTTTTTGGACTAATAGTATAAACAATTTTGAAGATATAATCGAACTTCCCAATAACTAATGGGGGTTTATTTTGTTATTTTGCCTTGTAAGGCCAGTGATCATTTGAATTAAATTTTCATTGAGTTATTTATACTCTTTCGATTCGAGCTTAATGATCTAAGTTTTGCAGAAGAACCTACGTACCCACCATTATGCAACGCTTCGCCGTTGTTTAAAGGGCTCATCAGGTATATTGGGCAATGTGGCTTTACAAAGGTCGTATGTTGATAACTTGGATTTATTTCGCCCTGATGCGAACTTGCATATGTGAATTAAATTCAAATTTGTCTAGGTTCGACATTTGTCTTCATTCTAGAAACAGTACTTTTTAAAACAGATTCTTGTTTTTTAATTATCGGATATTTATTTATGTTTATAATGTATGTCATTAATAATCAGAAGATCACTGTGGTCTATTGTCATCACGTAATCGAGAGATATTATGTATGTATTGAAAGAATTCACAATTTTTCTGATAAATGAACTAGCGAAGGATAGGAATAAAAAAAGTAATAGACAAAAATAGTCTTGGACAGTCATCGGGTTTTGGGCGAGTATCTATGATAACCGAGGCAGAATTGGTGCCCCAAATAATTAATTATATAAGGCCTTAAGGGATGACTCAGATAATAGATACCAATCAACGGCTTTGATTGGCTCTAACATGGCATGGTCTTATCTTGGTCTTTCATCACAATTGTGGACACTGGACTCCCGTGGTGTCACTTGAGGTAACTATTTCCATCATCCATTGAAATAGTGAGCTGATATGTGCCGCGAGTTCAGCCATAAGAACTAGATGAAAATGGGTTGAGACGTCAATATTGACAACCCCCGCAAACGTATAAAAGACCACGATCTGCGAATCTGCACTTGGAATATGCGCACGTTGTACAGAGCATGCACAGTTTTCGCTTTGGCAAATGTACTCAAGAAGTACAAAGCCGATATAATTGCCTAACAAGATAAAAAGGGATTGGTGTAAGTAAATCTGATTATTACGCCTCGTATTATAGCTGCGGATTTATGGTTAATAGGAGAATAAAAGACCTCGTCTCACTCCAGTAGATGAGCGAATTGCAATAATCCGTATAAAAGCGCAGTTCTTCTACATAAGTCTTATTTGCACTCATGTTCCGACCGAAGACAAAGATGAG